TATAGCAAGATTACCGACAGATACTACCGATGTGCTGGTACATTGAAAAAGTACCCTTGTGCGTATTACCGGAAACAATTATCGCGGTACACCGGAATACCGGTAATACAGCGCATATCGAATATATAGCATTAGAAGCAATGCCGTTTTAAGACATTGGCACGCGAGGCACGTGACTATGGCCCCTGGCAGCAGGAGGCCTCACAGCGGCCCAAAAGCAAAATTTCAGTGTCAGCTGTGTTAGTAGTTTAGTACTATATTAATAAGTTTAGCAAAATGACACACATGCACATGGAAATGCAATGCAATGATGTATATCTGAGACAGAGATTGAGCCGCAATTCTTGTTACTTGTAAGGTTAGAGTTTGTGCCTAGGGCCCCCAACCATCTTAAAACGGCTCTAATTAGTCTAAGTAGTGTCTTTTAGTGTCTAAGTAGTGTCTTTTCATTTCTTTCTTTGTCGAGGCTCGACGATATGTGTATTCACTGGTGTATTAGTTCTTTCCAGCAACAAAATGTGCAGATACATATACACCGTAGTATAACGCGCCAGAAAATCTAGGTCTATACAGTTCGCTAGGAGTAATCAGTCGAAGAAACAACATTGACATTGAGTAGGGCCTATATATTGTTTGTAATTAGACTCTCAACTTTTATGCTCGCAAATATGGCAGTGCGTCAGCCCTATTTTTTTATTGGGAATCGGAATTGTTTTGTTGAAAACAGTTATATTGTAGATGTTTAACGAATTTTGGATTTTAGTTCGCGACTCATATTCGTGATCTATGGTTCGTGAAGTAATTATCGTCGGTCATAGAAAGTAACGTTTGTGTAGTTATTTCTGTAAAGATGGAATCGAACATTATTTTAAAAAATCATCTAACTTTTCTGAATGTCCGTATAATCTCTGTTATGTTCCTTTGTCTTATTAGGTCTAAATAAAATTTACTTATTTATCTAAATAACATCATATTTATGTGTATCAAATGATATTCCTATTTTCAATTCGCATTAAAGGACTCGATGGGCTTAATCATGTATCAATTGAAAATGTGTATAATTTGTTTGTACTGATACTGTTCGCATTCCTTTTATAAGATAAATATCATTATATTTTAGTATAGAGAAGATAAATTCTTATATTTGTTTTCTGGTATACCAGAGGAGGCACGCAAACACACACACACAGACACAGACACACAGACACAGACACACAGACACACACACACACAAAGAGCACCCGATAAGTTTTGTGTTATTCTCATTTAATGATAATCATCCTCTAATTATCAGTATAATTCATCCAGTGAAGTTGCCATTTGTTATTTACAGTGCAACATGGAATTAATTGGATCCATCTGATAATGAAAGTTTACAGTGGCAATAAATCCCAGGTGATATTTACGGGCTGGCGAATCTCACATGTTGCAACGCGTTACGTAGAATGTAACTATGTTTATTGCATATAAATAAAATGACAGTACTCAGTTACTTGTTTTATAATAGCCGACGACCAAAAGAAGATCCCAGTTAATCTGGTGTGAAAACGCCCGATATATGACCAACGTTGCCTGAATGTAATGAGGTTTTCTTTTTGGGTATTGAAAACCTTTTTTTTTTGGATAATATCTTTATCTAAAATTTTGATTTGATCTTTTATATCCACCATCAAAATTAATTTCTTTAAACACTGCGTGATACAAACAATGTTATACGAACCTTTTTGATTCAGCTGATTGGAATTACTTTGGGAAAAAAAATTTGTACACTAAATTCTACATTTTGTACACTAAATTCTACACTTTGTACACTAAATTCTAACTGTTGAATGATTTATTAATGAAATTTGTTTAACTAATCGATTTGGCCGATTGCACAGGTGGATGACACATTTTTAGTTATATTTATTGTCCATTAGAATAGCTAGACTAAATTTGATCAATCAAAATTACGAATTGGTGTTTCAAGTATTCTATTGCGTTTACGTCTTCTTCCGGTTCCCTTGCTTCCTATGATATTTGTGCTTTAAGGACAGAATGTGGAACTATTTCCACCCGTCTAAATTATCAGGTTACCTGAAGCGTGTGATCACGGAACCAGGGTGGCGCTATAAATGGGAGGTTCCCAAAAAGCATATAGAAAGCAGCTACAGGCTACTATCGTGAGCATTTGTTGGATCTATTCCCACTCACCTTAGTCATACGGACAGATCGTTTGCGACTTAATTATTATCCAAAGACCTGTCGGCTAAATTAATTAGCACGCTTTGAGTGCACAAATGCGTGGGGGATGTGGCTCTCTTTCCTTCCCCGCTCTCTTTCCTTCCCCCACAAACCAGTCGCACATGCCCTACCTGGCGAAAGCGACTTAAATTTAAATTTCAATTTAATTCAGGATTCGATAATCGAACAGACATGTACCGCCGTAGCTAATATTGATCTAAAAATGATTTGAGTTCATCGGAAACTGTTTTTATGTTATTTGGACAACTGTCACCAACGAGTTCATTAAATGTGACCATATTGATTCTTTAATAATAAAGACTCGTGTCTGTTACATTCGCATAGTTAATGCTCGGATATGTATTCCGGTGGTATTTGTGTGCAGGTTACATAGTTTTACACCAATCACGCGGATGAGCTTCGTTACCAACTGAATAAACAAAATAGATACAAATGCTTTCAATGCTGCGTGTAAAGAACCGAAAATATAACATTTGTAAGGAGTTTCGGTGTGTGTGTGTGTGTGTGTGTGTGTGTGTGAGACTTTTATGTATGACGTCACATAGAATACTTGAACCTTGCAAAGATTCAGTGGATTTCCATTTCTTGATGCCTTTAACACGAACTGGACAGTAAAATACTATGCACATATTTCTGCTCTGCAGAGGATATTTGGATTTTTAAATATATGTATTATCACTTATCAACAGCCAGAACGCTGTATTGTATATGTTTTGTAAATGTTTACAGAAAGAAGTAGTTGTAGTAATAGTAGTAGCAGCAGCAGTAGTAGTAGTAACAACAACAACAACAATAATGCTTGACTTCCAGACACTATCATATCACTGTCCATTTATTCTCTTTGAATGTTCTGGAGTTTATATTTGCAAATACTCTAACAAAATTTTTGCATGCGGATAAATTATCTGATAGCACCATAAGTTTATATATTATTAGTTTTGTTCCATATTTCAATAGCACGCGTATGTACCCTATAAGTAGTTTTTACCTGTCAAAGAACCAAACGTCACCAGGGTATTATTAAGGCCTTTGGGGGTCCAGGGCACAGCCAACATATGGGGCCATAGATATCCTGCCTTGTCCATAGATATGGTAATAGTATTATTAATAACACTGCCTGTGATATATTAAAATGCTCATTTTTTGCTAAATAACTTTACAATGTGCATTAAAATGCATCTTTTAACCCATACTGAAGAAAGTGAAAATAATATGTGCATATAATGATGTTATACAGAAATTTGTATACTTCTGGTGATAATAGGATTTCCGGAAGTGATATACTGTCGGGAAGTCCCTCTGGTTTAGCGTATGTGCTGATGATGGATGAATCTAGTGATGATTTAAGCGAATTTACGGCAAATTTGTCATGCTCTTTTCGTCGTGTGAGGAAGGTGAACTCCTGTAAGATGGTTTGTCGGGAGGTTTCGACAGACACCAAAAGCAGGAAAACGAGGTAATTGCATAAATCTCATATACTTCTTTTATGCTGTGATTTAATTACTGGTAGGTACTTGTATTGACATAAATTTATATACGTTGTTTATGCTATGAATTAATTGCATGTAGAAGCATGTATTTGCAGGAATTTATTTGTTGAGTCGTAGATTAATTTTTCTTGATATGGTATATTTGTGTCTAGCTTGTTTACCTGAGCCCGCGCAACGATATTTTATTTTACATATGCGTTGAGGATTTGCTAAGTTATAGTCTTGATTATTGTAGGAATTGAATATGTTGAATTCATAATTATTTTATATACGGAAGTATGTATCCGACATAACTGTGTGGAGTTCATTTAACTGATGATATTGTATTTATAGTAAATAAATGAATTGATGATTGATGTTACGGAAGTAGTCGGAACTATCCGAACGAATCCATTATGTATAATGGTAGCCTTGATGTATAGTGTGGAATTTCATTCATTGACGTATAACGATGCCGAGTGAAAAGATCTGATGTTACCTGTGGCGTAAATGGCATTCCCAGTTCATTAGTCTAGGAACTAGCCCTGTAGACTGTTTAAAAGTTGATAGAATTATTTCTGACCTAGAGGGGTCAGTCTAATTATGTATTTCCGTTAAAGTGATGGAAGATTTAGGCGTTTATTTATATTTTCATAAGGTAAGATAATCTGAAAGGAGTTACAACCCAAACAGTGTGCACGTGTGAAGGAAGAAACAGCGTGGGAAGGAAAAGACGATATGGAGCAAAGGAAAAAGTAACTTAAATTGTTGGAACGTGAGAAAGTAGAACGGAAGACGTACTGAAACAACGGAATCGAAGTACAATTTGATAGGGCCTGTGGGACGGAGCAGTCAACAGGCTATGCTTTAATGCAAGGCAGCGTTATTCGATTGCTTGGACTCGAAATGATGATCTCTGTCTCTATCTTAAACATTAATGCCATTGTATTTTGAAATTCCTTAAATGTCATTGTATTTTCAAATTACTTAATTAGTAATTCCTACAGTAAGAAGTGTATCTTTCGAACGTTAAATTTAATATTGTCTACTTGTGGAAATTTTATTATTGTTATTGTTGTTGTTGTTGTTATTTCGTTACTGTTATTTAAATTTTATAATGAAAAGAGCAGGGCACGAATTTGGGCGAAACTTGCAGGTCTTCAGAGCAAATTTTCATATGGGCCTGGTTCACTTTTGGTGTTAGAAGTTAAACACTTAAGACCGTGAGAGGTGTGTAAATAAATACTTTATTAACTTTATGACAAGGTTTTTCTTTATTTAATTGCTTCAGTGGCATATTGGTTAGAGCGTCTGCCTCGGATGCATGAGGTCATGGGTTCTATCCCCAGTCGTGTCATGCCAAAGACTATCAAAAATGGTACGAACAGCTTCCTCGCTTAATTAACGCTCAGCATTAAGTGGTTAGTGTTAAGACTGGTCGGCCTGGTGTCAGAATCTGACTGGGTGGGACATGCTACATGTCTGCAGCATGATGCCCCAGTGCTAGACATCAATATAAACTGCAACACTGCAGACATCGTAGCGATATGACTGAAAAATTGTTAAACCTACGTTAAAAATCATAATCACATCACATCACTGTTACTTTATTTAAAACTGTGATGAAATGCAGAACCGGAAAGTACTTCGGGTGTGATTGTTTACTACCCTCCACTGATAGTATAATTGAAGAATTTTATTAAAAAAGAAATAAATAATCACCGACCTGGTGTATTCAGATGTTTAGCAAGTAAATAATTTCTCTATGGGTCTAGGTGTATAATATTTTTGGTAGAGGAAGTATACAGATTTATGTGGAAACAAATCCTGAGATTTGTGCTGATTAAATGTTCATTATTGTGGTACACAAAGGTTGAACAATAGTTTAACCATGCATCACATATACCTATATTTCATACTTTAACATGCAAAAACTTTTCATATATTTTACCCACAGGTTTGCTATCTAACACAATAACGAATGAAGGAGTGCATATACAATGTATATTGGTGTACCTGTGGAAATTTCAACAGTAAAGAAATAGCCGAGAAGAGTAGATGCTGTGAAGATAGCGTGATTTTGAATAAGCTGAGGAAGTCAGGTTGGATTGTATCATTTTATTGCTTGGATAAATACAAGGTGGACTGTATCATTGATCATCCAAGATTTCATACACTTTGCTTGGATGAATATGTCCTGGAAGCAGCATACTGTTTCTACAGTCAGCAATATGGAAAATGCAAGGAAATCCTGTCTGAGTACATGAACACTTGTAGGCAATATATTCTTATAGTTATGGTGCCACTATCAGGGAAAATGTTAGGACAAGTTATTGTTTTATACGCATTAAAATTTATGCTTAACATGCTTTTTCATAAAATCTCTCCTTTATTGACAAAATGTATCAGTACTATCACTTTTCTTAAGTAGAATTTTTTTTTTTACCAAACTTTTCATTTTGATAATAGATCCTGCTAAAACTATTTGTTCATTATCTTGGAAATTCTCATGTAAAATTCTTTAATCCTCTATAATTTCATTTCTTGAACAGATTATATGCTATGACACTAAAACATAATGCTGTCTGTTCATGTTCACGTTGATTTATTTAGCCTCGTAACACTGGTTGTAATAAAATCTAATTTTATGCATTGACTCTGAAAACATGAAATAACAGCTTTATTCAAGTATAAAAATTTGCTGCATATATAAAGATAGAGCAGCTTTATAAGGTAAAATCTTTACACCGAACGCATTAAAGGATTTATTAAAATTCCTTTCAAATATGGTTCTGTACATATTGCGAATAATAATACTATACTTTCCAGACTGAACGGACATGTTTACATTCACAAGCAATGGGTTGTGGGTTTGACTATAACCTATACCATCATTCATTCGCACAGTTGTGTAATTTACTCCTAATGACTGAAAACTGAGGGGTACTTATCCTTTATAATGAAACACAATCAATGCATCAAGTATTCACAACATTTTGGCTTTAGCAGAAAATCGTTTTGTCATTATTATTACTGTTGAACAGGCATGAAATAAGCATGGCCATGCAAATTATTTTTTTCGGGGGTGTGTGTGAAAAATTTAATGGTGGAGAAGGCAAAGCTAAACTCCAAGGGTCTCACACACACACACTAACACACACACACACACACGCACGCACACACACACGCACGCACACACACGTCTTTGTAAAGCAGGATTCATTTTAGTTGGGTAGTGGTGGGGCTATTATAGTTTGCAAACACCCTACCACTAAAATATATCTCTTCCATTGATCTTTCTTTAGCTAAGTATATTTGTGGCGAGGGGTTGGGGCTGACAATCTATAGTATAACATCAAAAAGGTGTAAAAATAGTTTACCCTCGCACGCTCTCGCTTCTGTACAAGCTTATCTCGATCTACATGTTGTTAGCCCTGCCGTAACCCTAGACTTTTTGTTGATCTGGTATTACGGACTCAGTTTGCGAGAAAACACGTTTGGTACTGCATTTGGCATGAGTCGTCTGATGGTCGTAATACCACTTGACTCTTTAATTTTATAGACGGTATCGAAATCATCGTCTCTCCAATGGTCACTGCAGACTATCTTGCCTATCACTAATGGTATAATGCACGGTCACTGCTACTGTATGCAACTGACAATGAAAGTAGAAATACAGTTTCCTACACACGTCACTTCCGCTTTGTCTTGCGGAAATTGCCGAGCGCGAAATCGGCATGGAGAGTTCTTTTTGTGCGATAAAAAAATTGATGTCTTGTGGTCATTATTTTCATTAATAATGAGATATTTGACATAATACCTTTTAAAATCACATATAGAAGATTAAATTTATCACATAAACGAAAGTTGTGCGAGCACACTAGTAGACTTTTAACGTCGCATTTGTGCTGATATAACAATGTACTGGTATAACCTGGCTATGTCAGTTCAAAATATAAAAAAGTTCAAGAATTAGGTATATGTCAGTTATACTGCTCGAAAAACAGACGACTCGCCGAAGTGAATGCAATACGGGACGTTTTCAATACGATTACCATATGTACTGGTGCAGTAACCTCGTATTATTTCTTTTACGTATGCTTACTGACGTCTCCAACTAATCTCTTTTCTACATAGATAATCAACTACATATGCAACGAATCTACTAATAGCAAAATCAATTCACATGACTACTACATGTAAAAACTGGCGTATAAATGAGTCCAACTGCAAACGGGGCAGACCCAGCTTTGCATTCGCATACTGCGCCATTTTCTCTTTTTTATTGTTTTAAAATATGTTATGCCTTCACCCAAAGTTCTTTTCTCGTATTTTTCCAAGGACTTTTTTGATACAAAATACTCCGTATAAATTCTTATAACCTTCATTAAAACTTATTTCCTAGTTTCTTTCTTTTGTTGGAAATTACAGTTATCCCATCTTTCGTAATTTCTTTTATGTCCCTGGTAATGAAACATTGAATGATTATGCTTGTTATGAATTTCTTGCTTTCTCTCTACAATACATGTTTTCTTCATTCAAGCTTGGTCAGGCTTTCTAAGAAAATATGCCATCTCTGTCACGATCAATCAACCATTTGTGAATGTGTCTGGGATATTGATGCCAGAAGGCTTCTTTTATCGACTAAAACAGATCTTGATGACTGGAAACCGAGATCTAAACTAATCAAATGTACGCATCGTATCTAACTTGGTTCAGACGCCAATCCTTCGAAAATGCGGCAGAATTGACAAAACTGGACACATAAATTATTTACACCTCAGCTGGTATTCACTACATACTCTCTGAGTGTAAAGATATAATCTTTGTATACTTATATAAAATTTACATAAAGGACGTCGTGTTAAGTTTGCTGACTAAGCGAAGTCTTGTGTCTCAGAACATTAATTTGTATGACTTGAGATTATGGAAGCAGTCAAAGGAGCATATACGATATGTGGAGAGAGAGAGAGAGAGAGAGAGAGAGAGAGAGAGAGAGAGAGAGAGAGAGAGAGAGAGAGAGAGAGAGAGAGAGAGAGAGAGAGAGAGAGAGAGAGAGAGAGAGAGAGAGAGAGAGAGAGAGAGAGAGAGAGAGAGAGAGAGAGAGAAAAGCACAATTATAAATTGTAGACGTAAGTAAATAAGTACATAATGAAAAAAACGGTTCAAATATTTGGCTTTCAAACGCATTATCAAATGATTAAATCTTGTTTTTAAGTTATTCGATCTAACTTTACAATCTGTTCATACTAATCGTTATGAAACGAAGACTTTAAAAAATTGGATTTAATTTAAAAGGTTCATTTGAATTTTTAATCCCATCCTATGTGCTAAAGAAGTATTCAGTATTTATGACCAACAAAGTGTTAAGATGATCCGTCATCTATGTAAGTACGAATGTGTTTAGTTCAAAAGAAGTCGTAGGAAATATGTCAAACGTATCTATGTTATACAGCTTGTACCATACAAGCATATATCGCTTACTTGTGAAAGTTGATTGGTTTCAAATGTTAGTACTAAATTTTGTTTGGCAAAGTCGCTTTTATCAACAACAAAACTTTTATTAACTCAATGTACATACAATTTTATGGTCAATTCAAGCAAATCTGGAAAGCTGGTATTAATGTCGTATCAAATGTTGGTATCACGTACAGTTTCGTCAAAAGGTACAGATACTTAGATATTTAGTTACTGTACTTACATTCAATATATATATATATATATATATATATATATATATATATATATATATATATATATATATATATATATATATATATATATATATATCTGTGTCTCTCTGTGTGTGTTCCTTTCTCTTTTTTTTATTTTTGTGTTTATTAGTGGAGGGTCATATCCGTGGTTGATCTTTTCAGAACAATTATGGAAGGCCCTACTGCCCAACCAGTATAATTGGCTAATGGTATTGTTACTTTTTTCCATTACGCTTTTAACAATGGTATAATGTGATTGATTGTGCTATATATTTGTTTTGCATTGGGTTTTTTATTTGTTTTTTGTTGGTGTTTTCCCTATATATCCAAATATTCCAAACATTAATCGCCATCAAGCAAATACTTTTCCATCAATCTGAATGTTTTCTTTTCATTTTACTCTTTCGTTTTCCTCCTTTTAGCTCTCCTTTTGTCTCTTTCTGTTTCTTTTTCTGTTTCTTCTGTTCCTTTTGCTGTCGAGTAGATTTGTGATATGTCTCTTGGTTTTGTCTCTGTTTTTGTAGTAATTGATGTTTTTGTTTCCTGTTGCTTGTTTTCTTTCACTTTTTGTCTCTGGTTGGTCTCTCCTTTTATTTCTTTTCTTTTCTGTTGTTCTGTTGCTGTTTCGGTCGAGTGATTTGTTT